ACGGGCCCGGAGGGGGATCGGCATTCACCCGGCGGGGCTGTGTTGTGTAAAAGCAGTAATTACACCCTGCTAAACCACACTGAAAAAGATAAAAAAGTAGAGGAGAGATTGCTAGGCCTGTGACCCTTTTGTAGGAAAACACGATGAAACTGTCCGGACTCCCCCTTTCAGGTGGCATAAAAAAGAGGAGAAATTCCCCATGCCTGTGCTGGTTTATGGTGTTTTATCTGGGTTTTTTTTTATGTTGTTGTTTCTTGCAATCCTTCTCTTGCAGCTGGGTCTTTTTGTGGGAGAAGGGCTACCAGGAAACAGACTCTGTGGTCAGTTCTGTAACCACAAAGGTGAAAGGAGTAACACTGACCAACACATCCGCCTTGGGAGCCAGGATCTGGGACGTGGCTGACTATGTCATCCCTCCTCAGGTATCAATCACTCTCACCTGTTCTAACAAACAGCTGCTGCTTTTGCAGTCTGGAGCAGCTTCAGCTCCAGTGTGGCCTTGATACGAGACAATGCAGGAGCTTTGCTTTGTGGTGGATCACACTGAACACCTGCATCACCAGCCCTAGGGAGGCTTGTTTCAAGCAAAGTGTGTCTCTGCGTGTGCTTGTATAGGAGGGAGAATTTTGCAGGCTTCAGGGAGAAGTTGCAACAATAACCACGTCCTCTTTCTTACTGCTTCCTAAAGCAAACAGCTCAAAGGTAACTTGTTGGCAGAAACCCTGGGAATAGCCTGCAAGTCGCTTGATCTGGAACTGAACAGAAGGTATTGCTGTAGTTACTGATTGACTGTGTCTGTGGGAATCTGTGCTGCGTGGGCAATGTGTGGCAGCCTTTGGGGTTGGCAGGCACGGCCAAGCTGCTAGTGGTGGGTCACTCTGCGTGCGGTGTGGTGCAGACAATAGTGACAGATTTAGCCAGATTTTGGCTGAGTGATCATATTTGCATATCAGTGGAGCAGAAGCAAACAACACATCCCGAATCGTACAGATCTGAAAATAATGGAAGTGGTGCTCTGTGGAGAAATAAACCAGGACTGGTCAAATTTCTAATAGATATATTTTAAAAAAAAAAAAAAAAAAAGAGTGGGAGTTATGCTCAGACTTGCAGCTGGAGCTTTATTTCTGCTCCTGCCTTGTGACTTCCCCACGGAGCTGTGTGATCTCTGTTTTTATAACACGAATGAGGAAGTTGTTTGGGCCAGGGGGCAGGACAGAAAGGGTTGCTAGTCCCACAGTCTTTCCTCTGCCTGAAGGCAGCAGCATCAGGTGATACACATGGAAATCTGTTCCGTTAACGCTACACCAGGACTGTCCGAAGCAAATCCCTTCTGTGGGGCCACCTGGGCTCTGTCAACAAAGAGATTTGGGGCAGTGCCTTGGATATTCTTTGCAGACTGTCACTCTTAAATTTCCTTCTTGTTTTTCATGTTCAGGAGGAGAACGCTGTGTTTGTCATGACCAATGTGATACTCACACTGAACCAGAGCCAAGGCCGCTGCGCAGAGGTAGGTACAGGATCTGCTTTAACCCTGCCTTGTGTGGGTGGGAGTATGGGGGAGAGTTCCTACAGTTTAGTGTAATTATTGTTTCTCTCCAGCTTCCAGATGAGGAAACAGAGTGCAAGGTAAAGAAGGACTGTGTTCCAGGTTATGTCAGCACCCACAGCAATGGTAAGAAGCCTGCTGCAAGGGCTCCTTCCAGTCTGTGCTGGGCCTTCCCTCCTGTGAAGGCAGCAGCATTTCACTTCAGTCTCCTTGTTCTCATTCTCTCACACCTAAGAGAACTGAAAGGGAAGCTCAAATTTTTCTTCTGGGGGAGATCAGATGGGCTTAGGCTGTGTTGGGTGGATGTTGGATAGATGTGTGCTTTGGTGAGTTAGCAAACAGTGTGAGGGCTTTTTCAGGACCTTGAGTCCATGAAGCAGTATTTTACGTAGATGAGGATTTGACTCAGAAAAAGGACCTGATACTTCTTTCTCTGTAATTGCACTCAAATTGCAATTGGAGATAATGGGGGTCTTGGTACTGGCACTTCACCTCTGAGCAGGTTGCCTTCACCTTATGGAGTGAAGAAATATCACAGGGCAAATACTGCCTCTGTATTTTTGTTTGGTAGTACCTCCATTCACATGTCTTTCCAGGCATCCAGACCGGGGAGTGTGTTCCATACAACCACAGCATTAAGACCTGTGAAGTCTTTGCGTGGTGCCCTGTGGAGGATGACTATCATATACCCAAGTGAGTGCTCTGTCTTCCTACTCTGTGGTGGCCCTCCTGAGAGGGGGCTAGCGGTATGTAGCAGTTGTTTCTTCCTATGAGGTATTATTGGGAAAAGCTGAAGAGGTGAGGACCCTGCAGAGTCTAGTTCATGAAAATGTAAGTGAGCCTTACTTACTTCTCCTATTGTTTTGTAGGCCAGCGTTCCTGCAAGAGGCTGAGAACTTCACCATGCTGGTGAAGAACAACATTTGGTACCCCAAGTTCAACTTCAGCAAGTAAATAGTGTGTGGGGCATTGCACTGTCTGGTTTCTTGGACAGTAAAGGGGAGCTGGAGGAGTGGAAGAAGATGCAACAGATCTTCTCTCTCTGTTCCCCTTTAGGCGAAACATCCTCCCCTCTATCAACTCCACCTACCTCAAGAACTGCATCTATGACTCCCAGACAGATCCCTTCTGCCCTATCTTTCGTTTAGGGAAAATAGTTGAAGCTGCAGGGCAGAACTTTCAGGAAATGGCTGTGGAGGTATTTGGCAGACCCTTCTCTTGGGCCTTAGCTGTGCAGAAGAGGAGCAGTAGGTGGTTGTGTCCCTCTGCCTTGTGGCACGAGCCACAGGACACAGAGTAGCTGCAGAATGGAGAGCTGCTCTGGCCAGAGGGACTGGAGTCAGTTCTACTGAATAAATGTTTGGTCTTGGCTTGTTTGGGTGGGGTTATGTGCAAGGTCCTTCTTTAGCAGGGGAAAGAGGGTTTGACTGGGACTGGGCCAAGGGCCAGTAAATGAGGGTCCTGGTCAGCAGAAAGGCTAGTGCTGGGCTGCACTGGGACTTGGACTGCTCACCTTTTCCTCTTCTTAACTTGGCAGGGTGGAGTCATGGCGCTGCAGATCAACTGGGACTGCAACCTTGACAGAGCTGCTTCCCACTGTGTGCCAAAGTACTCCTTCCGACGCCTCGACAACAAGGACTCTGCCCACACCGTCTCACCTGGGTACAACTTCAGGTAACGTGGCTATGGGGGGCACCTGGTGTCCCTGCAGCTCAGTCTGCCACCAGTACAGTGTTATGGTTCAGCATACAGTGCTGCTGTAAAACTTGGAGAGTTTCTCTGGTGCTGTAAACCATAGAGCAGGTCGGATCCTCACTGTGTGCAGATCACAGCAGAGGGGGAAGTCAGTGAAGCTCCAAGGATTGCATCAGAGTGTCTGAGTCGTATTTGCATCAGCATTTGGGTGACCGTTGGGACCAGCCTCCTGTGGCATGGCAATGTGAGAACTGACTGTTTGCATGCTGATAAGGCAGTATTTGAGGGGGCTGGGAGACCAAAGCACTGTCCTTCGCTGTGCAGGAGGGAAAACTAACCTCTAGAAAGTGGCTCTGTCAGTTAAAGACCGTACCTGCACCAGGGATATCCTTGTGGCATACAACACCCCATGTACATTCTGGCCAGTACAGATAGATCCAGTGCCTACAGTAAAACTACCAGTGCAGAACCGGGTAGCTGGTTGCATCCAGTCTCAGAGCTATAATAATACAATTATATTATTAGCACCTTGCCCAAGATCCTTGCAGCAGTCCTGCTCGTGAGGAAACACAGCTCAGGGCTATGCTTGTTTCTAGAATCACAAACTCTCACTCAGCCCAGGGGATCTCTTTTGGTGGATCTCGAATGAATTCACTGAGAAGCCGCTGTCATGCAGACGGCACAAGCGTGTGTTTGGGAGGTGCCAGGCCTGCAGGTATTGAGGTGTCGGGCGAGACCAGCTGGAGGGTATCGCAGCCTGGCTCGCGTGGGTTCTGAAATGCTCTTGCCGATTCCAGACCGTGGCGTAGCCCCTTACCAATCCTCCCTCTTCTCTTCCACCCTTTTCTCTGCTTCCTCCTGGCTTAGTCAACCACGTGGCGGAGTAAGTCTGATCTCACTTATTTGTTCTCATCCCTTTTCCCTGCCATTTGCCTGCGAGTCACATTGTGCGGTACAAGGAACAGCCTTTGTGTGCCGGGCTGAGCTGTGCTGCCTCCCTCGCTGCCTGCTCCCGGCCCTGCCCTCTCGTGGCTGCCTGCACTCCTGCAGCCTCCTGCTTGCCTCTCTCTGAGGGGGCTGATTCTTATGTGTCGCCGAATTTCTTCTTGTCCGTCCTTGCGCTGCCCTGCTAAAGCTAACTTTCTCCCCTTCCTATGCTTTGCGAGTTTCGTGATTTGGCTCGTGCTTACTGCTGTCTCAAATTTGCTTGTTCTGGGCTTTTCTCCTACATGTGCATGAAATCGCCCTCCATCATTTGGGGCTTGTCTCTGGCAGGGCGGGGGACACACCTGGATGTTGCATGATCACATAAGCAACCTCAAAATTTCCAGCTAAGCTCTGACCTATCTTTTTTCCTCCAGGTTTGCAAAATACTACAAGGATAGTGATGGCACTGAATCACGGACACTTGTCAAAGCTTATGGCATCCGCTTTGATATCATAGTGTTTGGAAAGGTAGGGTGACTAAATTCCTGGAGGTCTTGTGGTGAGGGCTTTCAGAGGTGTTGAAAAACATACTCACCCTTGTAACTGTCTTCTAGGCAGGAAAATTTGATGTAATTCCTACCATGATTAACATCGGCTCTGGCTTAGCGCTGTTTGGTGTGGTAAGTGGCACTGCCTGCACTTTGACTCAATTCTGGATTAGTGCCTTGGTTCTGAGAGTCATCGTCTTAAACTCTTTCCGTCTCCACTAGGCAACAGTGCTATGTGACATTGTTGTTCTGTATTGCATGAAGAAGAAATACTACTATCGGGAGAAGAAATACAAATATGTGGAGGATTATGAACTGGTAAGAACCAATGAAGGCAAAGTTACTTCCTCCTCTGACTCTGGAGAGATTCTGAAACAGGATGTAGAAAGTCCACATCAAACAGATTCTGAACTACAGCTCTGAGTAAACTTTGTCTTCGTCAGAGAAGCTAATTTTTACCTCAAAGCTGTTGCAGGGAGGAGCACTCGAAACAAATATTGTCATGTTTCCTAGGCAACCACTCTTGGAGAGGGAAATGTATGTTCAAGAACTTGTCATGCTCCCACTGCACCTCTTTTTTGGGTTGCAGTCTTTTGCAGTTGCCTTCTGAGAGCTGCAGACAACAGCTCTGTCCCCATCAAATCCTTACTTCTTAGCTTTTGGGGGTTCCTGCTGCTGTGAACAAACCCATTCAATGGGCTGGTATTTTATGAGACCGGTACGCCGACAGCCACAGCTTCGTCTCCCTCCAGAATCCAAATGATCCATTTGGCCAGTAGAAGGTTTTAGTGGGGTAGTGGAGTTGCTTGACTGGTGCTGGGGGTAGAGCTCGGCCCTGCAGCCCTGGGCTTGGTGGAAAGTGTTGCTGCAGAGGGTGGATTTCTGAATCAAAACACCTTGTGGCACTGGAAAAGTCTGACTAGTAGAGCATAGCTTGTTTGTGCAGAGGGTTTTATGTGAGAGAAAGGGGGAGAAAAGAGTTTTGTGGCAGAGACCTATAATCTCTGATCCTTGCAGGGAGTCGGTGAGGCATACGGAACAGACTCCTGACCCTCTGCTGCTACAGCACCAACTACTGCTGTAAACTGCTGCTGTGAACACTGTTCTGACCCTGCCATGAGACCCACCGGGGAACAAACCTGAGAAAGGGACCTTCTTCACTACTCTTCACTACTTTTGCTGGCTGGAGCCAGCCCCCAGAGAGAAGAACTGGGTCTGCTCCTTGTCTGCTGGCTTTCCAGGTTAATTGCACTAAGCACAGAAGGGACAGTTGTGCTTCTGTGCCAGGCCTCTGCACTGGCTAAGCCTGAGACAGGGACTGCCCTGACACTGTCATTTTGACAGTCCTCCTTCCCCTGAGCTCACCGGTAGCACAGAGCATGGGGTAACAGGCAGATTCTTTCTTACAGTGAATATGGCCCCTGCCAGGTGTTGCCTCACCTTGGGAGCACAGCTCCTTGCTCTCCTCAGATCGCTTTTCGTTGCCCTGAAGGATTGTGATGCTTAGCTGAGCCTGTGTCTACTATTTAATCGTGTCTCCAAGCTCCAGTGGCCACAGACCAAGACAAAGCAGTGCCTGGTTCCATTGTACTATGGTAAATGGCTTACTGGTTACAGTTTTGTTTTGTTTTGTTTTTTCTGGTTACAGTTTTGGGGGTTTTTCCCTGTTTTGTCTAATTTTTTGTGATACTACTTTAAAATTTATTTTCTTTTTAATAAAATATTACCCTCTCTCAGCCCTCTTAAAGTCCTGCAAGCTGGGTTTTGCTTATTTTTCCCCCAGGGCCTGTGAAGGTTAGGATCAGTGAAGTGTCTTCATTTCACACAGATACCAGCTGTTACCAGAGAGCTATCAAGGCCAGTGCTGCGCTCTGCTTTGCCTCTTGATTCCCTCAGCAAGAGTGCTGCTCCGGCTGCAGCTTCTGCTGCAGCTCGGTTCTCCCGGCACCTTCTCTGTGTCTGTTGCATTAAAGCCCTCTCCAAGGGAAAAGACTTGAAAGGTAAGAGGAGGGGGGGGGGGGGGGGGGGGTGTTAGCCTAGCGTGGCCTTAGCCCAACACTAGTACCAACTCGAGGAAGAACAGATCTTGATCCCTGGCATACCTCCCACCGCCCCACCCAGACCCTGTGTCTGGGCTGCTGCATTTAATGGATTTAAACGATTTGATATACGTGAACGTGTTGTCTTTTATCTTCACATGACCTTGAGCACCTCTAGCCATCCCACCGGTAGGCAAGGTCCAGCTCTTCCCTTTCTCTGCCCCTCTTCTAGTGTTACAGAGCCCTGGGACCTGTTCCTACCTCCAGCATCCTGGCTGGAGCTTCGCTTTTCCCAGCAGCGCCATGGGTTTGCTGCAGCATTATCGTTTTGGTTTATTCTCAAGTTTGCCTGCTGCTGCTGAGCACTAAGCTGAGTGTCCCAACTCCAACAGCGCCTTTAGAGTCAGTGCTCCAGTCTGTGCCTGTGAGTGGCTCGGTTTGGGCTATGCCGTGGCTAGAGTCACTGTGCCCTCATCCTAGCCCAGGATCCCCAGTAACGTTAGAGCACCAGACCTCACTAGCGTAGGATGGTGCTTTTGGACTCCTCTTCCAACAAGCAAACTCTCATAGCGTGACAAAGACCAGTCAAACAGGATAATGGTTCCACTTAATCAACTAACTCTGGGTTTGGTTGCATGTTGTTTATTTGAACTTGTACAGAGAAGCTTGAACAGCTGTGTGGAAAAAAAACACTTGGTTGGTTTTTTTTCTTTCTTCTTAGGTAATATAATTTAAAAGTGGTAAATACACAGTATTTAAACTTGATACACCTGATAAAGTTAAATGCATAATAAAGGGGTAGGAATGAAACACAAGCCTTGGTCATTAAACAAACAGTATAAAAATCAGCAATAGTTCCGGACCTTAGAAAAGAAACAGATCAGTTGCCTGATAGGTAAGAGGGGACCACCGAGAAAAACTACTCAGACAAGAGGCCTGGTTTCCCCTTAGCACTTTCCTGTGTGCTTTCAGAGCCAAAAAGGCTTAGTACCCAGCATTTAGCCTACAGTCAGCACTGGGCTTGCTTGAAAAGGAAGGGAATTAGGGAAATCAAGCTACAGCCCAGTTCCAAGGCACACGCAAAATGTTTACTTCACGATAAGGAAAAAACGTAGCTTTACTACGAAGGGACAGCAGCTAGGGAACTGAGCAGGTTTCTATGTACAGTACAGCTTCTCTAACAGCTCATGCATTGAGACAGATCTTCCTCGCACAGCCACGCTTTATGCTTTCAACAGAACTAATCGACAAGAAAAATCTACATCAAGTTTCTTTCAGAAATGTGCATTTGGCTGCCGCCCTACTGGAGCCGGTACTAAGAGACAATCCTTTTGGAGAGCGCCTTAGGGAGGTGCTGAGCTTTAGGCTCCTTACGATCCGAGGCCATGCTAGCCGTAAGACACTGCCCTGCGGTAACACGTGAGGCCCAGTGACTATGTGGCTGAGCATGGGGCAACTGGTCCAGCTCAGTCTGTTCAGCAGCTGCGTTGCACCTGCCAAGCCTGTTTGGTAAAGGTAAACTGTCTCGCCAGGCACCTGACAAATCACAAACCCGAGATACGCGGCACAGAGCATCTCTACGACTCACCTTTGACAAAACCACGCCACATACATTACTATGCACCAGCTACAAATAATCAGATCCCCTATTATTATTATTTATTTTTGGCAGAACAAGTCCATTTACAGGGTTAGAGAACCAAGCTGCCCACTCACATGCGTTTCCGCAGTGAAAAGTCCTGTTTAGGAAAGGGGGAGCAGGCAGCTGTAGTAGCGCTGGCACCCAAGTTACCTGTTTGGTTTTTCCATAGCTGAAGCTGCAGGGCTTTGGCATAGCCTTGGACTAAAATGGGAGGAAAACAGTGCATGTCTTATGGCTCCAAACTCCATAGTACTGCTCCCAAACCATGAACTGTTGTCACTGGCTTTGGAGAGAGGCCAGCAGCACAATGTTTCGGTAATAAATTGCAATTTAGGGGGAGCATTGCTTCAAGGGATCAGAAGATAGAAGGGACAGTTTGCGTAGGCGCCTGCACACTTGCTAACGCTGTCCTGGCTTTAACAAAGACCTGTCCTAACCCGGAATTACAGGGCCAGGTCTGACAGCAGCAGGGCCAAGGACCTCGGCGTGCTGCTGCTTGTGCTGCCCAAGACCAAGGAAGACAAGGGGACAGTCACTTTCTAAAGGCAGGACACCCATGAGAGATCAAAATACTTGGGTCTCTCCTAGTGCCTTCTTCCTCAGGGCAAAGAATTACACCTGAACAGTCCCTTACACACTTGGGACATTCGAATTCTCCCCCTCTTTCAGGCACACCATCATTTTCAATGCCTCATTCAAGGTCACACAACCACATCGGACTGAGAAGAGGTCAGACCTTCCCCCTAGTCCCACGCTCCATCCACAAAACAACTGTACTTACTGTGACCCCTTTCCTCAAGCAAACCCTGACTCTTCTCCAGCTCACCCACACTCTGCCATTCTCCAGTTTTGTCTGAGCACAGAGAACATGGGAAAGTAAGTCTGGACGTCAGAATCCCTCCCACCACACGGTAGATTATTGGTTTTTTACCAGCACCACAAAATAATCAGAGTAATCTGACTGAAGGTGAAAGAGCTCTTCATAAGAAACAATCCATGAATTAGGTATACACTTAATTTACTAACAAGCCTCTGATCCACAGGCATTCACAAATTACTGGTGACAAACTTGCAAAAAAATACATAGCATTGGCCCCAAAATCCAGATTAAGAGTTTGGAAAACAGAAGTTTCTTTGAAAATTACTAGCTAATCTAAGTATTTCAATAAGATCTTAAATTCTAAGCAAGCCCTAAGTCTATACTTAAAAAATAGCATAAGTTGTATTATTTTTTATTGTAGTAAACCATGTAATGTACATGGAAGTGAAGGATTTTACCCTGAATTTTATATTTAATAATATATCTACCTAAATCAAGTAAAAGATTTAGAAACTGTTGTTAGTGCTTCCTCTGCTGTTCAAAACAAACATTCAGCTAAACATCACCTTTCACTCGTATGTCTGCAGCAAAAATAGTTCAGACTGAACTTAAGCCCTTAAAATACCTTTTCCTTTCATACACCAAATACTCAATTTACCAAGTCCTAGTCACACCAAGACCTTAGGAAAGGCGTTAATTACCTTTCTGTAAAAACCTCACTTTCTGAACGTCCCGAAGATGCTGCTTAATACAACTTGGCTCACAAAGACAGGCATTCTTTAAAAACCTGAAAAGGTGAGTTTTTGCTTTGTTTCCATGCAATTAAAAAGATGGCAATTAAAAACAAACCAGAACGATGAGAAACAGACGCAACATTTCCGTTAGGTCGTGAACTTTCAAAGTGTGCACGTGTAGTTTCACCGCTGTGTACGCCACTTGGCAAAAGCTTCACCCTTCTACGTGCACCCACCGACTACGCGATGGGTGTACAACACCCCTGGGACGCTGGCGTTAGTCTCTGGAAATTATTTGGCATTAAAACCAGGTAAAAGCAGTTCCAAACATGTTTTTTTTGTTGTTGGACTGTTTTGGTTTTTTTTTTTTTTTGCAAAGCACTGTTGCTGCTCAACACGCCAGCTCACCTCTCTGCTATCAGCCAGCGCCTCTCCCACAAGAAGTCAGCAGTCCAAGCGATCGGAGATGTTCAGTGTTTAGGACAAGTAGACAGATGTCTTATAACATGCTGCTATGTAAGCTCTACATCCAGCTTTATACTGAAATAGCGCCGTGTCATGCTGTGTTTGGTGTAGGCTCTGTTAATGTCACTCATCCTCACCTGCACACTTCATAACGTGCCCTGGACCAAGTTGTTCAACAGAACCGTAAAGTCGATGTTCATGAAAGAAGTTCCTCCTCTCCCACGTTGGGCAAGTCATTGCATTTCAGATTATCTTCACTGCCTTGTTTCCTGCTTTAAAAGGAAATAAAACGGTTGCTGAGCAACTCAGAAAAAGGCAACGCGGACAATGAGACACCAGCATCTTCCCCTTCCCCTTTGGGACCCTGAGCACGTGTCGTTTCCCCCAGCTTCCCTGCAACAGGCTGGAAGTGCCGTAAAAAGATGCTTTTCAGCTCCTTGGAGGGGCAGCATACGCCACATCACAAAAAATCATCCCACAGAGCGGTTATGGGTTAGACAGAAGGTGTGTGAATGTCCCAGTCACGGCCCCACATGACAGATTCAAAGCCCAGCTCCTTGAACCCTCCTCCTGTGCTTTGCAGTGATTTCCAGAACATTAAAACAAGCTGCAAATGTCTTTTTTGGGCCAAGGCGAGGCAATGAAACTTACGGCAGCAGGTTCCCGGGGGCAGACAATGACCGCTCCTCCCTCCTGCTCCCCTCAAACGGGTTCCCAAAGGATCGCTTCCGGATCATCGTTTTAACCAAGATCTGCAAGACCAGATTGGAGTTAGTCAGGGACGCTTTGCTTTCATTCAAGAGCAACAGGAACATCCAACCCTCACACCCAAGTAATTAAGCAAACACAAGTCAAAGTTCTCTTTTTTAAAAAAACAAACCAGAAGGAAGCATGTTTACAAGTCTCCAGCTGCTTAATGCAGGGCTGTACCCTCATCAGAAACCCACAGTGACATAACTGAACATGGGGATGAGAGCCACACTAGATGTGAGAAGCTGGAAAGGAGAGCAAAGCCAAGTCTGGGAAGATTTTCTCTCCCCAAAAGTAGGTTTTACTGATTACTGCATCCAGTACCTGCAAATTCTCAGTTCCTGATGATAACTTGGCAGAAGACTTCATTGGAAAGGGAGAGGGGAAGGAAGGAACTGGCACAATTTTGCTTTAACGTTTACCAAAAACAAGCTGAAAAATTGGCTGTTTGTCTAGCTTTGGCTGCAAAACACAATGTTACCCAGTGTCAGCAGCAATCGGAGACTGCTGGGAACAGAGCAAGTGTCAGGGTTCTTCCCAGGCATCCCCCAACTTATTTTGCTGGTGGGAACAGCAGCAGATAACCACGTGAGCAGCACTGGACCCTGCTCAGCATGTGCATCCCGCTCTGGGAACCCCGGCTTCGTTCAATATTGCTTGTCGCCCCTCTGTGCCTTATTTATCTGCTCACCACAGTGCACCGAGAGCCCTTACACATCTGAAACGTGTCTGAAATGCCAGCAGCATCCCGCGGGGGAAGGCATTTTAAGTGAGAGTTGAAGCCACGTGAATCTCATACTCGAGCGTTAATGCCTGCAGTTGGATGCACAAAGATCAGGCACCAGAGGGTAATTCTGAAGAACTAATGCAAATGGGAAAAGACAAGATCAGCCTGGAGGCGGTGCGTTATTTAAGAGCCAAGAGTCACAGCAAAAGCTTATTTGCCCTGAGCTGTGCTAAACACACCTGGATTTTTAACAGGGCTGGGAGCAAGTCGCATCACAGCTAGTCACCTCCGAACAGGAGAAAGGGGGAAAAACCCCTTATCAGTGGTGATCTCTTTAGAGCAAGATCTGCTTTTTCAGCTTGAGCAGTGCAAAGCACATTTGCATATTAACGTATGTGCACTTGAAAAGACTTCTGCAGGGTACTGAAGCGGGAGAGAGCTCCAGGAATGGAGGCAGATGCAGGCATAGCCACGAGATGGAAAAGGGGCTTCAAAGGGAGACCTGTACTTCAAAAAAAGTCACAGCCTCGATGTCTACAGGCAGATGAACGCCGCGCCAGGGATCTGCAAATGGCCACTCGCTGTTTCTCCTAGCGTAAGGGCTAGCGGGCACTCAAAGAAATCATTACGTTCATAACCCACAAGGATTTCACTTTCCACACGGGGCAGGGTTACACTGTGGTTCTCAGCACCACAGTGGGTTGCAGAGAATAAAAATACGAGCTTGAAAAGAGATGAGATGAATTCACCAAGAATAGCTCCAGGCGGGGGCTGGCGCACGCCGTGGCCCAGATAAAATCTCCATCCCAGGAAGCTCCCACAGCCCCAACGGCTGGACAGGCAGAGCAGAGCCGGAGCTCCTCATGCCTGGCCAAAACACCCACTCCTGGCCACGGACAGGTCCTAGACCAGATGCTATTTTGTCCTGGGCAAATACAGCACTATTTAGGCAGCCAGCTCAAGCATGGAGACGGCAACCCTCTGACAGATCCCTTTGGGACCGCTCTGAAACATTCCACAGTGCCACGAGGCACGGCCACCTCCAGTGAGATGCTGAGACCCCACCTTGCAGCATTTGTTTTCGAGAGAGGGAAGGTCTTTGCTCTAATCCTGCCCAATGCTTTTGCCCTTCAGCAGCAAGCTCCAGCTGCTCGGAACTGCCCCAGGAGGCAGTGTGGACCCTGCTGAGCACCCACAGACCATCACCTCCCTCGCACTCACCACGGTGGCCAGGCTGGGGATGTGCTTGACTGAATTCTCCACCTCCTCCTCTGTCACCTCGATGAGGGTGCAGTTCTCATCCTCCGTGGGCAGCAGCTCCGCTCCGTTCTTGGTGACCCAAGGGTGCAACTTCAATTAATAACACAGCCTGTCAGGAACGATTTCCTCTTTTTTGTAACTCAACACAAGCCTGGCAAACGCATCTCCTTGCCCAAGCTATGGCCCCTACGTGCTCCTGAAATACCAGGGAGCAGGGGAGAGATGTGCCATCTCACTGGTGAGCCAGCTCACCCCGGTGCCACCAGGAACGGCTCAGCCCGGAGCAGAAAATGCCGCAGTGTGGCTCATTCGGAGCCAGCGCTGGCCCCACCTACACAACCAAGCAGTAACCTTGGTGACCTACAGCAGTGGGCATCTCAGTGGGTTTGAGGGAAGAAGACTTATTTTCACTCTCATCTTATGGATGAGACAGCTCCAAGAGGCAGGTGCAATTTATTCCAGAACACACGTATAGCGGTAGTGATGGGGAGACCCACCAAGCCCTAGTCTTGGACCTGAGTTAATCCACGACAGAAGGCAGAAGCCCCTCTTTCTCCTTGCCCACACATCTGGTATCTCGGGCGGCTGCAGGAGGAGCACAAAATGGTTCAGCAATTCCCCCGCAATCCTTTCCCCCTACCTTAGTCTCCATTTTCTCAGCTTCTCGTCCCTTCCAGGCTCCCACAGGGGCGGAGGACGAGAAATCTCCTGCGAAAGGCTGTTGCACAGTACTTTCCTGGTAGCAGAGGAAATACTGTACTCAGGGGATTTCCTTTTGCCTGTGACTTCTGTAGGCACCAAAGGTCCCAAAGCTGAGCAGGTCCCGGAGCAGGGGAAGGAGCTGGGACTTACCTGCCCAGGAGCCCTGGGCACAGGGGGATGACCTAGCCTGGCGCGATCAAACTCACTCCCAAAAAAAGCTGAGCAAGGAGAACCCAACAGAAGTGAAGCCACAGCCAACACCATGGGGCTTGGTCAGTACCTTGATTTCTGGGACCGAAATCCTAGATTCGGGATTTTTATCCAGCATGCGTGTAATCAAATCCTTCAAGAAGTCTGTAACTTCTGGCCTGTGGAAAGGAGAAGGGAGAGATGAGATGGGGAAGGGGATGGATGCTGCCTCCCTTCTTCACTCTGGTGTCAGCTGCCATGGGCCTTCCCGGGCAGATTGGGGCTGGCAGGGATGCAACTCTGAGTACTCGTGCACCCAGGTGCCATGCAGCCCTTCCAAACCCCCCAGAGAAGCAAAATATCCCCTTTTTGGGCAATCCAGAGCATGATCCCACATGAACAGGGCTGGGAGAGCCTGACACCGACTCCACCCAGGCTAAAACCCAACTACAGAGGTTAATCCGTTCCCTCAAATGCCTCTGCAACTTCAATCGCTCCTTCTTCAGCAACTGCAAACCAAGTGATGTTGCCTTCTCGCTTAATGCAAAGGAAGTTTTCCAGGGCTGAGGGCCAAGAGGACTTAGAGCCTGAGTTTTGCAAAACCCCAGCGGAGCAGGGCCAGCACCACCCAGGCAGTGCCTGAGAAACAGCTCAAATGAGCTTTAAAATTCCGAGTACTTACTGGTCTGGGAATTCCAACGTTTGGGTCTTGATTTTATTGTGTAAACTCAGGATCCTTTCATCCATAAAAGGGCACTACCGCAAAGAAAAAGAGCAGTGAGAAAAGCAACAGCCTCTGTTAAGAAGCATCAGTGGGGCAGCCAGTCGAGCATCGAGATCTCGTAGGGTTCGAAGGAGAGCAAGGAGGCAGTTATAGGGAAATACCAGAACATTTCCTATTATATCAATGTCTTCTTTTAAATGCAATGAAAATAACATTTGACTAAAGGTGACCAAATTACTACAACAGCTCCTTTCCTGAAAAATCAGCCCAGACACAGAACCTTTTAAAAAGAGAAACATAGCCCTTTTGGCTGCACCCCTCCCGTGGACAGGCAGAGGTTTCTCATTTTCACCCACACATCCCTGTCTCCCCTCAGCACTACCCGAACAGGGGTGCAGGGTGTAAATCCCACCATGTACCCGGCACATGGGAGGCACGCACCAAACCCCGCCAGACCACACAGCGCTGAAAAATCGATCTGATTACCTGCCCAAACACGAAGCAGTAAAGCGTGATCCCCATGGCCCAGACATCCAAAGCCTGCAGAGCAAAGAAAGTATGGTTAGATCTGCCACAGACAGCGTGTGCAAGGAAGATTAGTCCAAAACCCCTCAAACCGCTATTAAATACCTTTCCAGAGAAGATTTTCCTGGTTTCTGAGAGCGTCTCCGGGGCCATGAAGGCGGGGGTGCCCACTGTGTTGGTTAAGAGGGCATCAGCTCCCTTGAACTCGTTGCTCACTCCGAAGTCAGCGATCTTGACGTGCCCGTCTTCACCCACGAGGAGGTTGGAAGGTTTAATATCCCGGTGGATTATCTTTTGATAGTGCACTGCAACCAAAGGAAAAACAAGCGATTCAGCAGCAGCACCGGTCTGCAGCAAAGGAGGCAAGAAGCCCCCACGCGGCTCTAAGCCTTTCTGCTACACCACGACCAGCCTCAGCTTCAAAAACCCCTGTGCAGTAGCATGAGCCACCAGAAATGGCACCATACACCAGCAGAAAGTCCAGCCCCAGGTGTTTAGAGAAAAATAAAAAATAAGAAATCCCATCTTTTTTGCAGAGACACTTACAGTATTCAATACCCTTGATCAGATCCTGGAAGTAGAACCGAGCCTGGTCCTCGCTGAGAGGTTTCAGGGTTGGGATTTCCATCACGGGCCTGCAAAGGTAACAGAGAACAGAGCTTGTTCCCCATCTGGATGTCCTGAAACAGGTCCTGGAGGCTTTGCTGCCGGCCAGAGACAGCACACAGCCCCGAATGCAGGCATGTATGGGGTGTACACAACTGCAACTAGGTTGGGGAGATGCTACCCAAATGCATAGGAGACCCACCATGAACCTCCCCATCGCCTCTGCATCCCACACCCACCTCAGGTGGCCGAGCTGTGCCACCCACAAGCCTATCTCATGTTCCTGCTCTAGTTAAGTTTAAATCTGGAATTCAATACTCACCCTTGCTTCACCAGTTCAAATACTGAAACATAAAAGAAGAAGTGGTTAGTTACTGATCACTTACAGCTTAGAGCTCCTGCAAGCACAGTCCCAGCACAAAAGCAATTATTTCGATGACAAAAATTATAAAAACAATAGTTTTTTTAAAAAAGGAGATGCTATCTTATGCAAGGCACACGTCATTTTGCATGCTTCTGTCTTCAATTAAGGGGATGCTGCCAACTACCTTCTCTGTGCCGCAGCTTCAGCATCACAAAACACCCTCCGCACGGCACCCCGAAACCCTCCGTTTGCCTGTGAGATCAAGGCCAAGCCCTCGCCTCGAGCAAACCTCTACGCTTGGCCATGAAGGCATCGCATGCTCCTCTGCTAGTACGGTCTGAACAGAAATGATGGGAAAGACATTCCTCCTCCAAAAGTGTGTCTATTTACATCAATCAAACCACTGCAGTCTGCAAAGACAGGTTGGGAAGTGGCTCATTTGTACCGTGGATAATTAACATGTGCCTTGTTCTTGAAGCCAAAGAAATAAAGCTACTTTCTAGCAGCCCGCCTTCAAAGCTGAGAACATAAATGCTGATGCCTCTCGTGGCAAAGCGTGCCCTGATGTCGAATTAAAGCCTATAAAGTGCTATAAAGCAATCCTGTCTCCTTTCTGAACCCAGACTGGATCCCATTTGCTCCAACCATTAGAGGGGATTTGCTCCTCCAGCACATCCAGGCCATACCTGCTCTGGAGGACAGACCCAACCCCCCATGCAGCCACCCCAAAACGCGGTGGGAACCCTTTGCCCCACAAACCCCCATCCCGCTGACACCCCGCGAGCAGTTACCCATGTACAGGTGGTCCTCGCTGGGGTCATCCAGGACCTACCGAAAGAAGCGGAAAGGAAATTCAACAGCACCAAAAACCCTTGCAAACTAAACACTGTGATTTTTTATTTAGCAGCCATCTCAATTCTGCACCGCCTGCACCATTAGCATGGTCTGCTAACCTCTGAGCTTCTACCCATAAGAGGTGGGGGAAAAAAATTGGACAGAGATATAGCTGTACTTCAAGGAAGTAAATATTTAAAAAGCACAGGAAGCATCATCTGGCTCATGAGCCAAATAAACTCCAGCCTACACATCCTTAATTCTTGATTTTTGGACTATTTCATACAGCAGTGGGTGGAGGGCAGGGTGGCTGCACTGCAGAAACACCAGTTCCTCCCCAAAACCCATCTGAGCAGTTGTTTTCTTCAAGGAAGCAACATTTTTCTGAACTTCCCTTACTGGATAGGGAAGGAAAAAGTTGGGAGGTGGGAATAAAAAAATCTTTAAAACAAAGGAAAACACGAGCCTCCCATAGGCAGGACCTGCCAAGGCCATCTCAGCCCCTCTGCTGTCGCTTCCCTCTGCCCAAGCCGATGCGTAGCCCATCCCCGCAGCATCCAGGCTCCTTCATGCTCAGGGTGGGTTTTGGAAAGGGGCTGGTGGGTGCTCACCTCCACCAGCTTCACCACGTTGGGGTGGTCCAGCTTCTTCAGGATGGCGATCTCCTGGTAGACCTGTTCGATGGGCCCTTTGGGCTGCAGACAGCCCTCAGAGGCAGCTTTGGCCCCACGGGGCGGCGGGCGGCCTGCAGGAAAGGTAAAGACAGCGTGTCCGGTCAGGAATGAGCCCCCCGGGGTCCCCAAAGCATCCCCCATCCTAAAGCTTTTGTGCCACTTACGAGGGAAGCCCGCCTGTCTCATCAGCTTTTTTTTGGAGAGAACCTTCATTGCCTGCAAGAGGAGAAAAAATGTGGGATTTGGGGCAAATCAAGGATAAAATGGGGCTGGTATGGAGCCGGGCAGGGAGTCAGCGGAGTGGATCCATCCCCATCCCACCCACCCCAGTGCAGGCTCCGGGGCCATGTGCTACTCACATAGTAGGTGTTATCATCCTCGTTGTAGGCCAGCTTCACCACCCCGTAGGAGCCCTAGAGAGGGGCACAGCCATAGGGGACCAGTTAGGGACAGTCCAAAAAAAACCCCACAACATCAAACCAGGCTCTGGGCTCCTCCACAAATCCAGCCCCACCGGGATCACAGAGCTGGTAGGTGATGCTGGGAGTAGCGGGGCGTATGGTCTGGCATCACACCGCTGGCAAAGAAAAGCTTCAAATGCCCCATTTCATGGGAGGGAAGGGGAATGGGAAAAATTAATAATAATTAAGAAAAATTACACAATACATTTAGCACCACCCAGAAGAGACCGGCGTCACAGCGAGGAGCTGGCCAAGTGCCCGTGGTGGGTGGCTGAACTTGCCACCTCACCAGCTGGAAAGCGAAAGCGAACCCAACGCCCTCCCGCCCCAAATCCCCCCATCCCACCCCAAACCCGGACAATATTCACCTTCCCGATCTCATCCTTCAGCTTGTACTGGTTGAGCTGCACACAGTCCTGCGGGGAGAGAGGGAGGGGGGGTCCGACTTGAGCCACGAAACCACTTGTGTTTGTTCTCCTCCTTTTTAATCACCAGCAAAACTTTCTCTGCAAACTCACAGCCTGTTCCCAAATCCCCCCATCCCACCCCAAACCCGGACAATATTCACCTTCCCGATCTCATCCTTCAGCTTGTACTGGTTGAGCTGCACACAGTCCTGCGGGGAGAGAGGGAGGGGGGGTCCGACTTGAGCCACGAAACCACTTGTGTTTGTTCTCCTCCTTTTTAATCACCAGCAAAACTTTCTCTGCAAACTCACAGCCTGTTCTGCTCAGGGCTGGACAGCTTTGATTCATGAGCCGTACACGCCAGCCGCCCGGCCACGCGTCGGCGTGTTTATAGAGGGCTAATTGCGAACGTTAACGGCCGGGCAGGCAATATTGTCCGCTCAGGTGGAACGAGAGCACACGACGGGCCGCGGTGGCAGGGATCAGCAGGCAGGAGAGCCTCGGGGGTGGGTTTAATGCCGGGGACCGGCACTGAGGATTTGTATTTCTTATAT